ATTCTAAWCGGGKTATATACTGCCATGATAGATCAGATAGGAAAGTCAGCTTCCATTTTTGATGATTTCCAAAATCATGCTGAAGGCTTCGTGGTSATAAAATAAAAATAAWTTTCATTTTATWAAAAAAAAAWWAAAATKAAAAATGAAAGTATATATGTAGAATAAATGTCATTAGCAGTGAAAATGCAGACTTACTCTGCAAGAGCACACACATTTCATAAATTACCGACCAATCTGATACAGTTAAACCAAGCCTACGAATAAGGCTTTCTTGCTCTCTTTTGTAATATAGCAATCAGTTTTCCGATGAAAACCATTATACGTCTCCAAACTTACACAGTTGTATTTCCGATAATAACTTTCATTGACTCAGAACCAATAAGAAACTGAGCGGCGCTTATGGCAGCAGGACATTTTCAGCAATTTCCCCAGGACAGTACTATAGACTACTACTTAGCGAATTCCCCTTGCTGCGAAGTCTTATTAATAACAGCCTTTTTAGCCTTAGAGTCTAGGGCCAGTCGATCGGTCTGATTGGAAAGCACTTTCAAAGTTTATGACAAAAAGAACAGTCAAGATAAAAATAATAATAAAAAAACAGTGGGGCGGTAGCTTTATATTTATAGATAGAACTGGCCGATAAAACCGGAATGTCAAGAAGTATTAAATAATGCCTTGTCTACGAAACTAGTCAGTAATCTTTAAAAGTTTCTCATTAATTTATACTAAAGTCCATATATGCTAAGTTTTGGAAGGGAGTCATGTTGACCTGGAGTTGCATGAAAGYCGTTTGATAGTTTGGCGAAGTATAGTTGATATCATGATATCAACTTGGGTGAATGACGGTCGTGAATGGCCTAAAAGTCCTAAAATCAATTTTAAATTCGAAAAGAGTCTAATGTATGACAACACTTACAAATACAGCAAAGTAGCATTTTCTCATAAATTATACTAACTTTTATTATCTATTTATTTTAGACATAAGAGGTAAATAAGATCTTGTTGCATTTGCATTTTAAATTCAAGCTCTTTGATGGAGCGGGTTTCCTTCAAGTTTCTCACCGCAAGCGCGCGTCGACATGTTTTGCTTTTTTCCCGCCTTTTTTGTCTCAGCTTTGATCACCGCGTTTTTAATTTTAAACTGCTTTCAACTTTCTTAACAATGTTTTAGTTGAAATTGGTAAAAAAATTAAAGAA